TTTTAGCGAGCATAAGGGGAGGAGAAGGGATCCTACGTGAAGCAAAGAATCTCACATGACCAAGATACTTTTATTTCTCGTTTACGAACCGCCGTGCGAAGGCGAGAGTGGGCGGGGAGCGGGACAGCGCGTGGCGGACGGGTCTCCCGGAGGGGGACTCTGGACGAGAACGGAAAAGGGAAATCTTGTTCATCCGCTAAACCTCCAAGGCCGCGGCTTGGAGCTCGAGCTGTGTCTTGGGGCAAACAGCATATCACTCACTTTAGCTTAACTCGTAGCTTAGAACGGTGACTTCATGTAGTGATCTGGGTTATTGTCTAGAATCCACGGTCACGGGCTACCGGTCTCGGTTATGGTGTAATGGCCAGGTCATTCACTAGTGACCTTGGCTGTTGCCTTTTGACCAGGGATGGCGGCTCTCGACCTGGGTTATGCAAAAGGCCCAGAAAGTAACCTGGGTTAGTAAAAAATGCCTAGGTAATAACCTAGGTTATTAACAAGTATGACCTACATAGTTGCCTAGGTTATCGGTAAGTGTGAACCAGGTGTCGGCCGTAGTCATTGAGGGGCGAGCGGGAGGGGGGGGGGGGGTCCGGGACCGGGGCTGACCGACGGTAATGACTTAGGCCGTGACCTGGCTTGCTGATGAGTAATTTGCGTTGTATCAATGTTCAGGAATGTCACACTAATATCTGTTTATATTATTAATGGCAAATCCGCCATTAGAAATATATTGCTTTATGCTCTCTTACCTTGTACGTTTTTGATTAGTGTACATACAGACCACAAATGATGCGTGTTCATTAAATGAATCGTAACTGAAATTATATATCTGATTAGGTTTAGTTGAATTCAATGCACGCTCAGCCCGGAAACGGCGAAACGCCACTCGGGAGAGAACAGTCGCAATACCGATCGCTGATTGGCCTGCATGGGAGAGTAAGGTAGCCAATGGCGGCTTGGATATGGCGTGGTGTGAGCGCGGGCGCGTGGGCGTGTGTTGACGACGGTGCCCCGGCCGCGGGCGTGTTTGGTTAACAGCTTGGCGGGCGCTACCTCGTCCGCAGACAAGTTCCTAATTTTACTCTCCATATTCTTATGTTCTGCGCGGCTGGTCCTGGATGGAGCGCGAGGAGGGGGGGAGGGGTAGCAGCCATATCTGCCTGGAAGCACTCGCCGCCCCTGTAATCTGGACAAAATTCGTTAAGCAAGGTACAAAACGCGACGCAATCGTAAGCGCGAATTGGCCGCACACGAGCAGCTGGGCGGCGAGCGAGGGGGAGGGAGGGGGGAGAGGGAAGTGGCGCCGCGCGAGCAGTGCCATCCAGGGCCATCCCGATGTACTGTAGTGTACTGCTGTATATGTCGCTGTCTGTGTGGGTACTTAAGCTGCCTCTCATCCTCTCGACGTCGTAACGTAGTTCCCGCTGGAAATCATTCGGTCAAATCATTTCGTCGCTTCCCAGAGGTTCCCGCTAAAGAGGTAATAATTCAGCGCCTTAGCCCATATTGGGTGCTGTCGACGGCGCGAGATTGGCGCGATTGGAGGATTCGTTAGATGTTAGGCTTTGGAGCATGAGAGACGGTCGTAACCTTAAGGTGATATTCTAGGAGTAGTCTCAGCTAAGTTCCGCTACAAACACACTGTGTCGGGTTTACTATTCTAACAAGGGGAGCACTATGTTAGCAAAACTGGCAGCAGTTTGGTTGAAATACCACTTTGGTTAACTGGAAGCCGTTTCTATTATCAAGTTTAAAATTTAGTCCATACAGATGCAATCATTAAGTAAGGAAAGAAACAAAACGTAAACGTATATCTCCGGCTGTAGAACAGTCGGGTGTTCCGTTGTCATCTTGAGAAGTTCCCCTGATCCTTTAAAACACAGAAACAAAAACTTAGTACTGGGCATTTAGCTAAGACCAGTCTTCACAATAGCACCGTTTACTGTCACCATTATTTATTTGAGCGTGGAGGAACAGCACCTAGAAATAGATGTTAGGGCGTAACTTGCGATTTCTTGGCTGCTCCCTCTGTCGGTCTAGTTTGTCCATAGTTCCCCGGGTGTTCGGCTCGTCACTTGACCCTTAGAAGGCTGAGGAAACGGGGCGTGGGTGAGAGGAAGTCTTGGTTGCTCGTCGGTCTCGTAGAGTGTGGGCTCTGGACTCGAGTGTTGCATACTTCGTAGGTGGTTGTGGTGGCGAAGATGCTTGTATATAAGAGGTAGGTGTGTGTGTGTGCGTGGGTGTGTATGTATGTATGTGTGTGTTTGTAAACACTTTTACGCCAATGTAAAAGCAAACAGAATGAAGAATGGACATATCTCTCGGTCGTTTGCGTGACCCCGTGTGTGAGTGTCTTCAGTCGAACGTTGCCCTTCGCCCACCGGCATCAGAAGCTCGGTGTCATGCCAGTCTTGACAAAGGGGGCATGGCTTCGTCCCAGGAGAAATGGAGTATTAACCCAAGTGTGAGGTCAGTGTGGAGTGGGTGAGTGGCTGAAGCAGGGAAATCACAACTTTCGAGGACAGAAGGAGAATAAAAATGGAAGAATAGCAGGAAAATTAAAATACACAGATATATTTACGTGTCTCATCATGACACTTTTAGCACCGAGAGGGACGAAATTTTTTCAATAGAACGTTTTTGTAGAATTCTTTTTTCTGTAGTTTTTCCCTGGTGGTGGAAGAAGCTGTTAATCGAACTGCCTCACATAGTCTGTATAAATATATATATTTAGTATGCAAATACATCTTGACGACGTTATCTGGTATGACTACAGCCTCCATCAGACGATAGCCAACCAAAGTGACTTAGCGAAATCACACAACTCACCCACTTAATACGCTAGATTAACATTTACAAAAGTCATTAGCTTTACTGAAAACCTAATTACTAGAGGATTAGTTTTCAACAGTGAGTGTCATCTGCTAACAGTTTCATTTACAAAACCGAATAACTTTCACGAGTCGTTGTTGACATCGGACGCGGATCGGAATGCGGTGGATGGCGGGGTCGACCTCAAGGGCAGCACAATGTTCTTCGGTTGTGCGGTGGAAGCCAATGGCACGGAATGCGATTGGTGCGAGTTCTGACTGGCTAGGAGTGCATTCGAGAATAACTGAACAGGACGAATAATGTGGCCATCATCGTAATTTCACTTATACCTCAGATTAAATGCAATCAATTAGAGTATGGATTTCTCTAATGTAGAGCAAGTTTAAATAATGTTGTAACTTAGAAATTTATTTTAAAATTAATGTCCTTGATGTTCAAATTAGTGATTAATTGAGCTCTTATCAATGATATATGTTAGTCAACAAACTGACCCCTCACTGTAATAGACACTGGAGGCTGAAATCTGAAGCTTGCGTGAGATTCTTCATCTTGATCAATTGCGAATTTCTGTCAGTTAGTCTTGCCATTTAGGAGTTTGAAACCCACAAAATAAATCACCTTTTCTCCACGATTCGTCATTGACACGCATCCCTTTTTTTCTTACGGCTTTGTATTTGGCTCGGTTTGTTTGAGAATCTGTCATATATGGGGACTCTTAACAATGGAGTATTTGCACTATTTACCCTTCCGTTGTTTTTGTCTCTCGTCTCACCGCAGGAAATGACTTCAGATTTCGTTCTCCAGCTGCTAAAATTTGTAACTTTTAACTGTCTGTCCACGAGACGTATATCTTTATTTTTGCCACTGTACAGTTTATTTTTAAGACTGATGTATATTTGCATATTTCTGTATGTGTAAAAAAAATCACACCTGCATAATATGATTTTTATGTTGTGCCAAACCAGCTCTTGAACATTAAAATAGCTCTTAAGTGTTTTACTGCATAATGTGTTGTGACCGAGTTGTGGTATCAGTAAGGAAATAAAACGTGCAAAAAGAGATGTTCAGATAATCGAGAGAAAAGTAACAAAGAAATAATAAAATGTTCATTATGGAAACCTTATTCCCAGATTGTTCATTATGGAAACCATATTTCTAAATTGTTCTGTAACGGAAGCCCAATGTTGAGAGGAGACCTTACTGTAGTCGCACGCCCTAGGTTGTTGGTGCTGTCCACCCAACACTTCGCAAGCAGAGGCTATTGTGAAGGGAAATAAATGTGTTCAATAATGGGTACACTGAGGCTACTTCAAGCGTGGAGCAAGCAACAACCTTACGTCACAACACAGTGAATGACAACAGGCACGTGACATTACATCAACAGCAAAACAAACGAAGAAAAGAAAATTACTAAAATGAATCCTAAATTTTCTCGATCCACAAAATTAATATAAATTGTTGAACGGAAAAAAAGAAGTAATCTAGGAATCTTCACAACTTTAGCCCCAATTTGACACAATCCCCCAAATGGACACAAACCAGACGACGAAAGATGAGCAAAGAGAGCATTGGTGTGGTGTCAGGTGGCTGCGGTCGAGCGTCGTGTGGTGGTCCTGCATATCAGCGGGGGGTCCGGCCGCTGCCTGGAAGCGTCGCGAACCTGGGTGACGTGCGGGGAGCAGACTTTGTGCAAGGGAATGCTGTGTTTCGTGAGAGAGGGAATCAGATGCTATGATTTGGAGTGTTCGTGGATAACTTTTTTTTTTACATGGTTGAATTACACTGTGCAGGCCGCAAACAAAATGAAAATTCAAGGGGCGTTTTGTTGTTTGTATGGAACTCTTTTTCGCATTGTGTTATAATCTAAATCAAAGAAGAATTCCGAAGATACTAACTGCAGTTGTAAGGCCTTCTAATATTACCAAAATTTGCTAATCCTTCTGGTCCCACAAAATCAGTTGCACGCGGCCAGTGATAGTCGGCGAGGCTCCATCCAGCAGAGTGAACGGCAAGGCGCGGCGCCCCCTCGGCCCATCAGTCAGTTTGTTGGTGTCTGTACGGCGCGCTCTGTACATATTTGCTGACCTCTATTTTTATTTTATTTACATGTGCCACGTGTACCACAGATGATTCATTATATCAAATAAATGTATTCGTAATAGGAAGTGTCTGTTTTATTTCTGATTGTTCCTTTGTCTGTCACGCCAAGCATTTATGGTTAAAGTGAAAAATGATTAAATTGTCAAAGAAGCATTTCATAACATACTCAGTAGATCCCAAACACCTCTTTCCAAGCCAGGCACTTGTTTGCTCTATTTTGACAAGACATGTGTCGTACGTAGTACGGGTGTCTTGGGAGTGAGGACAAGTTTGCAACATAGGTATATGTTACTTTTGATACTAGTTGAAAATAAAACCTTATGAAGAATATAATAGAAAGATAATTTAACGAAATTGATCATACTAGTAGATACAAATGAAGCAGTTTCACCCTTGTAAATGCCTATGTATTCCATATATAATGTTCATGTCATGATAAAAGCAAATTGATAATTTGTCTTTTTTTAAATATTGGTTAAGTTACAGTATAAGAACATCCGAATATCGGAAACACCATTCTACTGTTTTGTGAATCGAATACTAAATATCCCTTTTTTGATAGCAAATACCCGAAAAGAAAAGTAAGACCAAAGTATATGCAATATATGTAATGTTAGATAACGCAGACGGCTGTGAACAGTCCTCGGAGAGAAAGGAAAAGATTAATAAGAATGCACCTGGATTATCAACAGCAAAAAATGTAATGTTTCACCATTTGAAAAATAACTTTTTTTTTTACATGGTTGAATTACACTGTGCAGGCCGCAAACAAAATGAAAATTCAAGGGGCGTTTTGTTGTTTGTATGGAACTCTTTTTCGCATTGTGTTATAATCTAAATCAAAGAAGAATTCCGAAGATACTAACTGCAGTTGTAAGGCCTTCTAATATTACCAAAATTTGCTAATCCTTCTGGTCCCACAAAATCAGTTGCACGCGGCCAGTGATAGTCGGCGAGGCTCCATCCAGCAGAGTGAACGGCAAGGCGCGGCGCCCCCTCGGCCCATCAGTCAGTTTGTTGGTGTCTGTACGGCGCGCTCTGTACATATTTGCTGACCTCTATTTTTATTTTATTTACATGTGCCACGTGTACCACAGATGATTCATTATATCAAATAAATGTATTCGTAATAGGAAGTGTCTGTTTTATTTCTGATTGTTCCTTTGTCTGTCACGCCAAGCATTTATGGTTAAAGTGAAAAATGATTAAATTGTCAAAGAAGCATTTCATAACATACTCAGTAGATCCCAAACACCTCTTTCCAAGCCAGGCACTTGTTTGCTCTATTTTGACAAGACATGTGTCGTACGTAGTACGGGTGTCTTGGGAGTGAGGACAAGTTTGCAACATAGGTATATGTTACTTTTGATACTAGTTGAAAATAAAACCTTATGAAGAATATAATAGAAAGATAATTTAACGAAATTGATCATACTAGTAGATACAAATGAAGCAGTTTCACCCTTGTAAATGCCTATGTATTCCATATATAATGTTCATGTCATGATAAAAGCAAATTGATAATTTGTCTTTTTTTGAATATTGGTTAAGTTACAGTATAAGAACATCCGAATATCGGAAACACCATTCTACTGTTTTGTGAATCGAATACTAAATATCTCTTTTTTGATAGCAAATACCCGAAGAGAAAAGTAAGACCAAAGTATATGCAATATATGTAATGTTAGATAACGCAGACGGCTGTGAACAGTCCTCGGAGAGAAAGGAAAAGATTAATAAGAATGCACCTGGATTATCAACAGCAAAAAATGTAATGTTTCACCATTTTGAAAAATAACTTTTTTTTTCTCTCTCTCTCTTAAACATCATTATATTTGAATTACACGCAACTGCCGTCAAATTGTGCTTTTTTATTAGAATTAACTGGTGCAGTCATACATATGAGCATATAGACATTCAGTAAATATAAAAAACACAGAATAAGGGTTAAATCTTTTAGTTGCACATGCATACATGATATTTTTCACAAACTAGAACTAATCAAGCAATGATAACTCGATTATCTGATAGATGATACTCATGTCCTTCGTGATATTTTCAACACATAATGTGATAACCCTTTCCTTTACGAAGAGTGAAAAATTCCGATATATTGAGTGTGCAACATGGTTAGACGGCGCATTTTGAAGTGGAACATTTCATCACAGCTTGATAATGTGAATAGAATAAAGTGCAACAAAATATGTGTACCCTTTTTCAGCTAAGCTAGTCAATCAAATAACAACAAAGAAGAAATGTCAATTTTTTCATTAATATTCTGAAAACAAACAAACAAACCAGTCTCCTGCAATAAGGGAATAATACAAACGAAAGTTCATTGCCTCTGGAAAATAAAATTCCTGATAATGCAGTTCATTCTTTAGAATCGTTGTGACACACGATCATTGAAAGGATCAGGGTTTATACCAGTGGTTCCCGAAGTGAGTGGTGTTAAGACCAAGAAAAGATGCATTATAACTTGCGAGAGCCACCGGTAGGGGGACATCAAAACCAAGGGGCCTCGTGGTATCGACTGTCTTCCTGACTTCGTAGTCAACTTCTTGT